TACCCGTAATTGACGAGACGAATCTTTTAAGCCTAAATAATCCATAATTGGACAATTTTTGCCAAATATAAACGAAAGTGCTACAGTAGGTAAAAGCTAAAAATTTTCGCATCTAAACGGGGCCTAAGTTAATGGCGGGGGAGGAAGGCGCGACTGTGCCTGCGTGATGGCGCGGTCGGGTACTCGTACCGGCCGCGGTGGCCAAGCGGTACGACGGCGGAGAAAAGAGGGCGCCGTACGTCGTCTGCTACTGTAGGGATCTTCAGAGAGATGAGACAGCCAGATAGGCTTCACCGCTTCAGGTACTGTTGGCGAAGGTGGTACGTAAAATGGACAGATCACGTCGTCTAGTGAAGCGAACACGCTCGTCCAATTGAAATTGGAACGAGACAATATACACCGGCCATAGCTGACTGAGCTTCGCTGTGGGTGATGTGCTTTGCAGGAAAACATCAATTCGTCATGTGTGGGTGTGGTGCAGTGCAGTGCAGCGGCACATACGATTCATGTTCAACTCATCCAAGTGGGTGCATGCGCATTGAATGCAGTAGGTGGATAAACGAGAAGAGCATGTACTGCAGGCCATCTACCACCACCGTCCACCACTTTGGTGTAAGCAGGCGGACAAACATTTAATGCTTGTTGTCATGTACAAATAGAAATTTACTATCAGTAAATTCAAAAAAATAAAAATGTATTATTAATAAGTAAAAACAGGTCGTGACTTTTAGGATCATAGTATTACCACGCATCTCTTGTACGGTGGCTAATAAGCCATATAAACGTATTGATCCTAATCTTTTGTATAACGTACCGATCCCAATTATTAATAGAATATTATTGTAGAATTCATCCAAATAGTGTACACATTACTATAGAAATAGTTTTTACCAACTATATTTTCACTACTAGTTTTGTTAAAATCATTGATGAAAATATATCACCACCGGTACATAGTTTAGAACAAAATCGATTCTTGTCCTGAACCGGCCGGTAAAAACAAGGATAAGTTTTCATTGCCGGCTCGGGATAAAAATCAGTGGTAAAAAATGTCCTTTAATAGTACATCATAACTATACTCAAGATCAGAAGGATATGTCTATTTCAATCGCTTGTGTCTTCAATGTTTTATATGCCATTTCTACTCAATATCTCTACATAAGGGTCGCAACTATCTTTGTCTCACTCTTCTTGAGCAAACCCACCCTTAAGCATGTGACTTGAACCATTTCAACACATGTAAGTTTCATTCATGGCTTAAGTCAGATCCGCTTATGATTCAAACAAAGATTTGATCCTCCACATAATATGACTCCTCATAGCTTGAGTAGTACGTTGACTCAATGCAAGTACTCTCTTCTTCACCACAACCTTGTCCATCAGCACCCAAAGCTCTCACTTGCCCTTCACCTTTGCTTGGTCCTTCGAAACCCTTTTGTTGCTATCTTCACCCTCTCAAGCCATCCACAAGTCACATTATATCTAGAACCAACATTAAGATTTCATTTGAAGTTCAATAGCAATATTGTCCATATCCAAGCCATATTCAAATATTGTCTATCTTACTTGACTTGGTTCATCTTCTTTTGATCATATATCTTGATCAACATCAATCATACTTTCAACTTGATCAAATCAATGCATAGTGATTTCCAAATCTTTATCCATACAAGCAAATTAATATAGGAGACCATATTATATCCATTACACACATTGTCTCCTTTGTTATTTGAACTTTGCTTATCATTTCCTCACTTCTATATTTTTGACTCATTCTTCAATACTTGATCAAAGCCAATCTACAATCAATCCCTTCTTGTTCATGCAAAGCAAGCCATCTATATGAGAACAAACCATATTCATTCCTCTCATGCCTCATTTGTCATTTGCCAAATATGTTTGCTTTCACATGATGCCATGATATCCTACAACATGGAAGTCATTTCATCAATTTCATTTGCATTGTTGTCTTCTGCTTGAACTAGATTATTTTCATAATCTTCTAACACAACAATAAAAAGTGATCAAAGCATCATGATCTACTAGTCCACGACCATTTCGGAGTGCCACGCATAGCAAATTCCAAAGTCTTTCGGTGCAATTTTGATCACTGAGCAGAAATATCACTTAAATATTTGATCAAGCGTTTGGTTAAACCATGCCCGATTTCATCGACTCAATGGATGCAGTCAACAGATCAATAGACAATAAAGCCTTTTAGCTTCAGCTAGGGAGTATTATACTTCTTTATCTAAAAAAGGGAGTATTATACTTTCCCCACCTTACAATCAAATTAATGTATAGTGCGCAAAGCGTGATTATATTGTTTATATTTACTCGAAAATAGCAACTACGCCTCTCACTAGAGTCAGGACTCAGGATCAGTGTTCAACTGGTAATGACTATGCGTGTATCCTAGCTATAAAATAAGATAGTTATCCATTTCGTGATAATGTAAGCTTATAATTTGTGATGTACTTATTACTACTATATTATACTCCCTCTATTTCAAATTCTAAGATGTTTTGGCTTTTCTATATTCATAATTTTTACTATGCACTTAGATATACACTATATCTGGATACGTAGTAAAAACAATGTACGTAGAAAAGTTAAAATGTCTTATAATTTAAAATGGATGGAGTAGCTATTAAACTGATCGAGGATTATACAAAGCTAGTAACTAGTGGGATGCTAGAAGTTTTCTATTTTTATCACAGTAAAGGGGTGTTTGGTTCGGCCAGGAGCGGTTAAATCTAGTCACATTTAGTCATTTTTTATTCAAACACTGTGACTAAATAGGATTAAATGGGCTTTAGTCCTCTCTAACAACTCTGGAGTGACTAAATAGGACTAAACCATTTAGGAGGGGCTAAATTTAACGGTTGCAATCTAAACAGGGTCTAAATAGTAGAAAAAAATACGTTTTCTCAAACAATTTGTCACGAATAATGTGGGGGACAGACACGCATGACATGACCATCGTACTCGTACCTTGGTTTTCAAAGAAGCTCCACTCACGGCAGTCGCACTTAAAATTACAGACTCCACAGACGAGGATGCGTACAGCGTATATAACCATACATTTCTCGTTTTACCTTTTCAATGTTAAGTGCGAGGTCATAGACATACATTTGGCAAGGTTAGACAACAAACCGAAAAAAAACTGTATGTGTGTAATGTTTTTTTTAATTTGGTCTGAGGAACAAGTTAGTCCATTATCTACTTATTTCTCTCTTTTTTTTTATTTGGTTTGTGGAATATAAGAGGTTGATGCATCATCACCCTATTTCTCATAAACTAATAATTAGTACTGGTACGAGAAATAAAGTCATTCCACTAAATTTGAGGAATAGATTCGTGATGGACTATCTCATGTAGTATGAAGTGATTCATCGAACCAAACACAACCAAAAGGAAATAATCTAGTCCTTTCACGTCAACATCTGGATATATATTGTGATAATTGATTGATGGTGGTAATAGAATTCTTCATCACGTCATGAGCTTGTGCATAACTTTGCAACTATAGAATGTAATGTATGCACAAGAGAATAGCACGTACTAGACACGCAGCACAGAATCACGATCAGCTGGCGTATCGTGACTGCAGACTGTGGGGCTGTCCAGTTGGAGTAGCAGGCACAGTCTTGTGCAGGAAGAGCCATGGGAGGAATTTATTGTGGCTTCTCCTAATAATCAGGCCCCATTTAGATTCAAAAAATTTGCGCCTTTCTCGTCACATCGAATTTTGCGGCACATGTATGGAGTACTAAATATAGATAAAAAAAACTAATTGCACAGTTAGGTAAGAAATCGCGAGACGAAACTTTTGAACCTAATTAGTTCATAATTAGACACTAATTGATAAATACAAACGAAAGTACTACAGTAGCCAAAATCAAAAAAAATTGGATCTAAACGGGGCCTCATTTGAAATCTGGAACTGAGGCAGGGAGCGAGACCCGTGATGTCACTCACCCAAATTAGTTTCTGCCCTACACCCTGACTCCTCCTGTGTCTGAGCCTGCCTGCCTGCCTGTCCGCGCCCTGCGACCCTGCATCATCCTATCAATCTATCTATAGCAGCAGGCTATAGCCGGCCGCCTCTCCGACTCTCTCTCAACACTTCACCCACACAAAAATAAAATTAAAAGAAGATGTGTTTAGTTCATGAATTTTGAGAATTTAGCTATCGTAATATTTTCGTTTTTATTTGTTAATTAGTGTTCAATCATTGACTAATTAGACTTAAAACGTTCGTCTCACAATTTTCAACCAAATTGTACAATTAATTTTTTTTTTTCGTCTACATTTAATACTCCATGCACGTATCTATCAGAAAATTGGAGAAGAAGAGACATGCTGATCTTCTCCACATCAGCTCAATATATATGGTACTAGGAGCTGTAGTAGCTCATGTCCTTGTCAAGGTGTAGGTAAGATCGAAGGAGTACTAGTAGAATCATAATTATCTCACCTTTTGGTAGAGAGGTCCTAATCTTTTTTCTTTTCTTTTGTTGCTCCGAGCCGAGATCTTCTTTTCCTCCCTCCTCCGGCTCCCCCCGGCCAGTGTAAGCTTAGCTAGCTACACACAGAGAGATTGCCGAGATAAGATCTGCACTGCCGCCCTCTTTTGCTTGTCACTTTCACAAAAGAGAGGCCGGCCGGCTGCATGCACCCAGGCCACCAGCGCGCGCAGTATTAAGCAGCTTGGTGTGGTGTGGTGTGGTGTGGTTCTATCTGCCTGCCTCCTGCGGACGGCCGGAGTCGTTGTGCTTTGTTGTGGACGCTGTGGGGTTGGTTCCCAACTTCCCATATGGCCATTAAATCTTTTTCCTCGACATGGCCAGCTGAGTGAGCTTTGGCGCGGGGGAATCGCATGCAGCTGCCTGAAACAGTTCGGTCTCTTTAATTAGGTGATTAATTAGTTTAGTTTTTCTCTTTTGATTCCTAGCTAGTATAGTAGCTTGTTCTTTCTTCATTCTTTCCGGCTGTAGGGAGGAGAGGACAAGTGAGTTTGCTCAAGCTGGAGGAGGACAAGAACCAGTTGTCCAAGGGCTTGGACCCTTGGAGCAACCCTACCGCCGCCACGGCCAGCACCCTGCACTACCTGCTCCAGGAGAAGGAGAGAGCGCAGGCGCAGGAGCAGCTCCAGATCTACCACCAGCAAGGATTCAGCTACCTCCAGCACCACCACCGGAGGCAGCAGCAGCAGTCGAGGGCTGCAGCAGGAGCCAGCGCCGGCGGCGATGGCGTCAGCAGCGGCGAGTCCACGCCCGTTGACGCCTTGGCGACCGCATTCGGGGGCGGCCGCATCGTGCGGTCCGCCGCCGGGCGCAAGGACCGCCACAGCAAGGTGTGCACCTCGCGCGGGCTGCGCGACCGCCGTGTCCGCCTCGCCGCGCACACGGCCATCCGGTTCTACGACGTGCAGGACCGCCTAGGCTACGACCGCCCCAGCAAGGCCGTCGACTGGCTCATCCGTAACGCCAAGGCCGCCATCGACGAGCTTCCGGCCGACCGGGCAGAGGGGCAGCAGCCTGCCACGGAGGCAGCAAATGCCACTGAGCCGGCCGAGCAGGTGACCTCCACGTCGTCCTACGGGTTCGGCAACCCCAGTGGTGGCGCCATCGGTGGTGTGGCCGGCTCGTTCATGCCACATTCTGTCGGCGCCGATGGCGGCGTCTCCGGCTCCGGCAACGTCAAGTCTTTGTTCCCCTCGTCGTCGACAGCCAGCACCACCCCCACCCAGGACGAGTACAGGGGCTCCCCGCCGGACCTGCTGTCCCGCACGACCAGCAGCCACCAGCCGCAGGAGCTTCGCCTCACTCTCCAGTCTACTAATAACCAGCAGCAGCACCCGATCTTCAGCCATCATGTGTCCCCGAACCACCACGGTATGATCTCTGGTGCAGGCGTCCAAGGCTGGCCGGAGCACGGCCAGAGAATGCCGTCGTGGCATGCTGCTTCGGAGAACAGCAGCGCGGGAGACGGCCGCGGCGCCGCCGGCAATGGGGACAGCTACATGTTCGGCGTGCCCCCACGGCATCAAGGGCTAGACCACCAGGGCCAGCTCTTTTCCCAAGGGGAACCCCTTCAGTCCAGTGGCGGCTGGCCGTCTGCCCGCGCTTGGCTAGACCCTCTCGCCGCGATCCACCAACCATCGACGATGGCTGGGCAGGTCGGCGGCTTCAGTCATCTGGTTGGCGCCGGCGCCGGCGGGTTCATGGGTTTCCTCGCGCCGGCGACGGCCCATCAGCGGCTCCAGGGCGAGGACGAGCAAGGAAGCGAAGCAATGAGAGAGTGATGAGCGTGCTTAACTACGAGGTACGGTGTGCGAGCTTAACACACACACTGCTACACTCTTCATTGATCTGGTTGGTCAGCTGTATGTCATTTCATGTAGGAGTTTGTTTAATTTAGGTAATGGAATTTCGCATTATTAATTATTAGCTGCTGCTATATTAGTGGCTATATTATTAATTATCAATCATGCCTGTATAACTAAGGTTTAATCAAGTCGTCGTTCCCTTTGAACTAGACAGCCGTTACTGTTGCATTAGTGGCTTTGCTACTACTACTTCTGTTTTATTTCAATATATTTTTTCCATTCCGTGATTCTCTCAGCATGGACAAGATGTGGTGACGTTGAGATTAACGAGACGATGTGATCTCGATGGTTTTCCCCCTTTGGACCTTTTAATGTTTCTCTTCTCACCTCATTATTCTAAGGAAGATTCCGGCCTGCCTTTAGCCACAATTTGAAGGTTGTCGCCCCTAGATCCTGATTCCAGAAAGCAAGCAGGCAAAGCAGCAGCCGATGCAACTGCAGCCTCTAATAATGATACGTATAATGAAGAAGAAAGCGGCGGCAAAAGGGATCGAGCAAAATAAACAAAGAACACGAGCCGGCACCGGCAGGCAGGGGGGCAGCTGAATTTAAAATCAGTTTAGTCCCCTGTAGCAGTTAGGAGTGCAAGTGCTGTGCTGTTTGCTCCTGATGTCTCCTCTCCATCCATGCCGATAATGATAGGGGGCCGGGGCCGGGGCCGGGGCTGGGGCAGGCAGCAGGAAGAAGAGACCGGAGGCGGGCAGCTGCGGTGGGATCTGCGGACTGCGGCCGCCGCTCTATGAATTGCATGCCTCTATTATTGGAACTGGTGAGTGTGGTATCTATCTTTGCCCTCTCCCCACTTTCCTCTTTCCTTTGCTTTCACTATGTGGGGGTATCTTTTCGCTCACCAGAGACTGTGAATCTTCTGAAAATTGCATGTATGGCATGTCGTACCGGTACCCCTGACAACTGCATGAAAGAAGGGCCAAAGGGGGCGCTGGGACAATAGCGTATCAACGTCCTGCTAATTTGGCAGTGGCTCGGCGGGCGCAGACACAGCTCGCCGCGCCGGTGTTCGTTTCTGGTTGTTTTTAGCCCTAGGGAGTAGGGACTTGCTGCTGCTTTGCATGTCAGCCTCCATATTCCTTTGAATTTCTTCGCCAGTTCATGGAAGCATGCATATCTTGCTCATTCCATGCGTCAATCTGTCATTGACCTATGCAAAAAATAACTGTCATTGACCTCAGCTCACAACAATACTATAGCACACCGAACATATAGTATTTGTTTGATTGATGCAACATAACCCCCATTAATCCACATTAGGTCATCGTATATATGTTAACTTTGAGATTCCTTTTTTTTTTTTACGCTAGCTGTTTTCCTGCTGATATGCAGACTTGCAGGACGTATAGTGGAATGGGAAAGCTGCCGTTAGAGAAAAGCATGAAGGGCTATACTGTAGACTGTAGTAGTCGTTTGCCAGTATCATCTCTCTCTCCCTCTCTTCTGCGCCGTCGTCGGAGCTCAGCCTGCTCAGAAGACACCGAACATGCTCTCTTTCCCATTTGAAGATGCTGAGGATAGGTCACTTTCTACTGCCACAGTCCACAGAGCAGATCCCCAGTCGCTAGCTATGGCCACTCTCTTTTGCATATATATAGTGCTCGCAGACCGTTGTACTTTGTCGTTGTTGTAGCCTGTAGTAAGAAAAAATAAAATAAAATAAAAGGCATGCATGCTTATTCTGCAAGTCTGCAACAACTACGTATGGAAGTGGACGGCAGTGCGTGCAGAAGTCCTCTGGGCATATTATTAGTACATACCGTCGTTTTATAAAGATTCATGGGATGCTTGCAAATTTGGACCAAACGTTACAATCTATACATGTGATGTAATGCAACTAATACAATTTGTCGTGTACGGGTTGATTAATGAAAATACGCATTAGCAGTCATAGCTTGTGGCATGCATTAACTGAGGTTGTGTTTAGTTCTAGGAATTTGGATTTTGGAGTTACTGTAGCACGTTCGTTTTTATTTGACAAATAGTGTTCAAACATGGACTAATTAGGCTCAAAATGTTCGTCTCGCAATTTCCCACCAAACTGTCCAATTAATTTTTCTTTTCGCCTACATTTAATGCTCCATGCACGGACCGCAAACATTCGATGTGACAGGGACTGTAGCAAATTTTTAGAAGTTAAGGTGGAACTAAACAAGGGCTGAGTCTACATATATACTCTATGTAGAAATGGAAATATGTTGTCACCGGACAAATGCAACCACCCCTTATTAAAAGCTTTCACATCTATTACCAATGCAAACTGCAATGTCTGTATTAGTAAAGTTGTCATCCGTTTGTATGAACACCGTGGTGGTGGTGGGTGGGTGGGGGTAGGTGGGAGATGACCTAGTGTGTCACTGGTATTGCTACAGTTATATTGAAATGCTTTGCATATACTCCCTCCGTTTACATTTAACTGGCGTGAGGGGCTTCATTTCAGATACCAAGACACGTATCTCAGCATGAATAATCACCGCATGGCATGCAGGAAAGTAATTACTGCATGGCATGTGAAAGAAAAAAAAGGGTGTTTTGATTACTTCACGCCACGAAACTGATGCTAGCTATGCGTGCACCGCTTTGTTTTTTTACTCCCGAGTAATTAATTGTCCCTTGATACCTGCAGTCTAGCTACCTCCTATTATGGCCAAAATGAAAAACTGGTGTACGCCAGTTAATTGGGAACGGAGGGAGTACAACTCAATTACATCCACACTTCTTATGCATTTATAACCTTTCATAAGTGATTTCAAAATGTTGCATTGTAAGGTTGCACTACCGCAGACGATCTTTAGAGGCGGTGTCGTGGGTTCGTTTATGTGGCAGTAATCGTGTTGTTCGACGTGGGACGATGTGTATGCCTTTGCAGGCTTAAGCACCCAAAGCATAGGGGGTTTATCCTAGTTCGTCGGGCGTCTAAGCCCTGCATCTAGCAATGGTATTCTTCGTGTTGAGAATGCTTAGTCGAGTTCTTACAATGGAGAAAAAGAGAGGTGTAGGGGGAATGTTATGCTATTTTAGGGTTTGATCTGCTAGGATTTGATCGATCCTTCCCTTTCAATAGGATCCCATACCCTGCCTTATATACCGAAGGGCGGTGAGAGTACAAGTCGTGTGGTTGCTATCCAACATCAAATTCAGACAATAAGATATACCATCAAACATCACCATGAGGACCATACGACCATCAAACATAACAAAATAGCTGATTCATGACCATTAGACATCAGTAAAACTAAGCATATATGAAACAAGAACATATCTTTAATGGATTGCAACTGGAACCGAGACACGGAATCGATGGCGAAGTAGGGCCGCTTAAGGGGCGGTAGGAGGCGAGGCAGGAGGGCACGCTGGTTGCATGCACCTTGAACATGGTCTCCACAGAATTGGTGATGTCGAAGAGCTAGTCCCCAGGGGAACGCCTCGACGCGACCGAGCAGGTCACCGACGTTGGCGGGGCCGAGCACGGTGACTGGGTGGAGGCGGGGGCGGCAGGATCGGAGCAGGAGCGGAGGCCGGGCAGAGCAGCGAGGGCAGGTGCTGCCGCTTTCATGCCTTCGGGGATGACTTTGTAACGTGTCTAGAAGCTATTGACGATTACAAGTGTGTCTAGCACGGTGTTAGTTTGAGACGCTTACAAGATCATTATAAATAGTGTCTTCAGATGGCTTTTAACACACACAAAAATGTGTCTAATACCGTGTTATGTTGAGATGTTCATAATATCATGTCAAAAAGCATCTTTACATGACTATGTAGAGACACTTTTAATGTGTGTTACTAAAGTGTGCCTAAAGCGACTTTTTCATGTAGTGAAAGTTGATGTCGCCTCTGCTCTCATGGCTCCAGGGACTGGGCGCCGCCACCGCTGTCTCACAGAGGAGTCGGAGAGGCGCGAGTGGAAGTGAATAGAGAGAAGAGGCTAGGTATGAACATTGAATTGAAGAGTGGGCTGCCATTTTGGGCTTTCATGGGCTGCGACTATTTTCTGGGCGGACGTCAAACTTTTAGCTGAAGCTAAATTGGTCATTAATTAGTGGCTATCTCCAGTTATCTCTGGCTATTAGCGGCAACGGTTGCTTAAGCTAAAAATTGCTTCTTCTAGCTGTACTCTTTCAACAACCATCTTCGGCTAGCCGAAGATTTAAAACCTTGATAGAATTTGAGGATTTTAACGTCAAAAAAAAATTAAGTGAGGATGGACGGAAGAAGTAAGCCTGTTCGGTTGACTGGTTCGTATCGTTGCTGGTTTGTGAAGAAGTACTGCTGGCTGGTTTGTGTGAGAGAAAAATACTGTTCCAGCTGAAAATTTACGATCGTTTATGACAAGCCACAGCCAAACGAACAGGCTGCAAGGATGATACCAAGTTAGCAGGCCACCATGTTGTTTTGTGTAGTACGTCTCCTGTTTAGGCCGGCAATATGGAGAGATGCCGACTTTGAAGGGCTTGCCAAAGGGTGGCTGCTTGCAAGGCTGCAAGCCTGCAACCCGCGCGCCATGGCATCTCCCGGAAAGGCCTCTCTGCCTCTCTCTTCCATTGCAACGGCATCTCGTCCGGCGAGTCACTTTGCTGGTCCTTCCGTCCACGTAGTAGCGCTCACAGGCGCCTCTGTCGTACGCGCGCCCATGCCGAGCACGTCGACGTCTCCGACAGCTTTTTCACGAGCGCAGGGCCGCCCGACCCGGTGGCGCTTTCCATTATTCGGTCGACCGGTGAGGCTGTCGCCGCCTCACCGGGCCTCGCGCGCTGAAGTTTTCGGTTTTTCCAAGGAATAACGCAACTCCCCTTCGACGACGAGTTCGATCGATCGATGCATCTCGTGCCGGGCGTCGGTCGACGTATGCGTCGCTTCGGTAATAGCAGCATCGGCGGTAACCAGATTGGAAAAATGCCCTGCTCTTT